TACATGAGATATATTCCTCTGATCTTGTGTACATTCTTCTCATATTTGTTGTGGTTTCTGTGATCTCTCTATGCGTTTGCAGGTGGCTCTAGCTCTCGTGCTGCTCAAAAGCCTCGAAACACCAAGAAGAGGGCCCGTAGGGGCAAACCGTCAGATGACAATGAGGATGCTCATGAGGTGGTCCTCCCTACCAAAGCCACTCATCGGGAGAAGTATGCAGCTGCCAACCAACGTGCTGCGATGCCAAAGCACAAGTGGAAGATATTGGACTGGCAAACGGCTCGTTTTCAGGATCCCTACTGTGCTGCACCTACTCCTCATTGGAACAACCCTCAGTTCCGGAATGAGTTTCAGATGAGGATTGTGTCAGAAATTTTCGAGCATCACAAGAACAAGTTCACCCTGATGTGGTCCATTGACATTGAGCATTGGAGGAACAACCTTGACTACTTTGGAGAAGCTCTAGAGATTTGTGAGGAGTTTGACTTGATCAAGCTCATGACCCTGAATTGTGACTTTGATGTGCAGCTCATCCACCAGTTCTATGCTACAGTCCAATTCGGCTCTAATGCTGAGCGCCACCTTTACTTCATGTGCCATGATGAATTCTTTCATGTCCCGTGGCACGCTTTCTGCAATGCTCTTGGCTATGAGGATACCGGGGTGGAGGGTCAAGGAGGCCTCTGTCCTCACAACCGACCTCATCCCATGGATAAGGTGAAGCTTGCCCCTCTGTACATTCCTGGACATGGTATCGTGGGTAAGTCCAGTGACCTTCTGCCCGTCTATGACATTATGCATCGTGTGTTCTGGTGTGTGTTGCTTCCCAAGGTCGGGAACCAAGATGATATTTATGATTATCTAGTGGATTTACTTGTGGCCATGAAGACCAAGAGGGGATCCAGCGCCACGGTTGATGTTTCCAAGTGGATGTGGGAGGAGATGTACAATATGGTGTGGTACCGCAAGGTACCGATCTATGCTCCTTTTGTGATGCAGTTTCTGAACACCGTTTTGGCAGTCCGTAGGCCAGGAGAGCCTCTCTCCACTCCTGCAAACCTCACGGAGCATGAGGTTAAGGTTCTGGGGAAGAAGAAGCATAAGACTCCTTGTTTTTCTACGGGCAATCAGGAGGATGTATATGCTACCTCGGACGATGATGACTTTGAGTTGGAGGCTGGGGCCCAGCCCACTTGGGTTGAGAAGCTGACATCCAAGATCAAGAAGACCTTCTGCTTACAGACTCACATTTAGAAGAAGCTCTACAAGGCCCATGTTGCGGAGAAGATGGTGTGTCACAGGCAGATTCAGTTGATGAGGCACCTCAATGTGCCAGATGTGAAGAGTGGCTTTGAGAAGACTATCACTCCTGAGGATTTGTGGTGCATGGAGAACTGTCAGTGGTCTGATGAAGCGCCTGCCACCTCTTCTGTCCATGGTCCTGAGGCGACTACTATGGGGTCTGAGGAGTCTGAGGAGGCCGAGGAGGCTGAGGAGCCTAATGACACTGATGATGAGGGTGATGATGCTTCTCACAGCTTTGCGGCGACTGGCGAGGAGGTCTACTGAGCCTCGGGGCGCTAGCTTCCTCTCTTCCTTTTTGGTGTCTTGATGCCAAAGGGGGAGAGAGCTCCATTAGGTCATGGGAGTTGCATGGGGGGTTCTTTTGTAGTTGGTCTTGTGCGTTCTTTTGCAGTTGCTCTTTAGTGTCTTGTGAACTTGTCCTATGGTGTGTCTTTGTGCATGGTGTAAGACATGCGTCCCTTATCTATTTATCTATCTATGCACTCGTCTGTCAGTAAAGCTTGCATGCTTTGTTCTACTATCTTATGATTTATGATCGGTATTGTGTCATTGTCACTGGTTGGTCTATAAAATCTAGGGGGAGCATTGACCCTAGTGTGAGCATTTGCAATCTCAAAGCAAACTCTAAATAATGCTCACACTCAGGGGGAGCCCCGTCTATATTTTCTGTACCTCCCGTGCCTTTCGAGTGGTTGTCATCATCCACCAAAAAGGGGGAGATTGTAAGGGCATCTTCTACCTTAAAGTTTTGGTGATGATGACAACACTCGTGTGGACTAATCGTGCGTTCTAATTTTCTCAGGTACACTTTGTGCGGCGCAAGACGGTTAGGACTTCCCTCTATGCGGAAAAGATCGAAGACGGAGTTTCCGACGTTTTATTCCTTTGGTCATAGGATATCCGGTCTACTAAGAGGGAATCCTCATCGAATGGTATTGGGTGAATCATTTCACGTACACGTTCTCGGCACCCACCATAGACCCTTCGTTCGAGAAGAGAGGGGTTCCCTAAAGTACTCTGTTCTATGCAGTTCTGCCCATGGCGGTAGTACCGCTCCATTGAGCGGTTGTACCGTTGGCCGGTAGTTCCGGTCTTACCACTGCCCCCTCCCTTCTGTACCGGGTACAGTGGTAGACCGGTAGTGGAACGGAAGTTCCAGTTTATCTTGACAAACCAGTACTACTGGTGTTCAGGGCGGTAGTACCGCCTCGGACTCCACTGCTCAGGAACTGCTGGCCCAGCGGTAGCTCCGGCCCAACCACCGCTCTAACTACCGGCCTGGGGTGATTTCCTTCTGTGGTGAGGCGGTAGTCGGGCGGTGGTTGGACGGTAGTTCCGGTATGTTCCGATATACCGGTACTACCGGTTGTCTCACTTGAAGTACCGCCCTGGTGCCCTAGCAGGGGTTTCCCGCATTCACCGGTTGTACCGGTGACCCTTGCGGAAGTACCGCTCCTGTGTGTTTCTACGCATAATGGTTGGATCTGAGGGGACCCTATTTAAGGAGGTGCTTCTCCTACCTCCCTATTATCTCTTGCCCCTCTCTCTCCTCCATTAATGCCCTCGAAGCTTTCTTGCCCGATCTCTCTCTAGCCACTCAAACTTGTTGATTTGCTTGCGATTGAAGGAGGAGACCTAGATCTACACTCTCACCAAAGGAAACTTGATTCCCCCATACTTTCTTGTGTGGATTTTGTTACTCTTAGGTTCTTGGGCACCCTTGTTGAAAGAGGTCACTTCAGAGCCACATTCCATTGTGGTGAAGCTCTGGGGTTTCGTTGGGAGCCTCCAATTAAGTTGTGGAGAGAGCCCCAGCCTTGTTTGTAAAGGTATGGTTGCCGCCTTTAAGGGCTCCAATAGTGGAATCACGACATCTCGCATTGTGTGAGGGAATGAGGAGAATATGGTGGCCCTAGTGGCTTCTTGGGGAGCACTGTGCCTCCACACCGCTCCAAGGGAGACGTACTTCCCTTCAAAGGGAAGGAACTTCGGTAACACATCCTCGTCTCCATCGGTTCAACTCTTGGTTATCTCTTACCTTTACTTGTGCAAGTTTTATTGTGATATATCCTTTACTTGCTTGTGTGCTTTGTTGTTGCATCATATAGGTTGCTCACCTAGTTGCATATCTAGACAACCTACTTTGATGCAAAGTTTAAATTGGTAAAGAAAAGCTAAAAATTGTTAGTTGCCTATTCATCCCCCTCTAGTCAACTATATCGATCCTTTCACCTTCATACCCAGGGCCGCCGCCCCGGCGTACCAAAGCTCCCCGACAAGAAGTGTGCAGCAGGGACCTCGCCGCCACCTTCACCGGCACCCGTGTGGGAACGCCAGCGACCTCCTCGTGTGGCGGCGGGAAGGACAAGGAAGCAGGAGGAGGCGTGGAGGGGCTAGGGTTTGACGCCCTCGAATCGCCCACGAGGAGGGACCCAGGAGCAGGGGAGGGCGTCCGACTTCCTCCTTTGCTCTTCTCTAGTTTTACTTTCTTGTGAAGTCTTTGATGCAATATTGTGAAACATCTATGTATGTCTCTTGTGGTGGGATAGTGTGTACTCTTTGTAATCCGTTTTTCTTACAAAAATACATATGGTTACTTAGGACATGTACAATGCATAGCCCCAAGGTGATGCCCCGTACGTCATGTAGGATCGGATGTCTAAAAAAGTAGGTTTGGATGGAGCAGCGGAATCCTCAACAAGAGGCGGGTGCTTGGGGACAAAAAGTGTGGTCTAGTGCACAAAGCTAAAAAGTTTGAAGTGAAGAGGAGAGACGGATGTGTAGTGAGACTCTACTTTCAATTCTTTGACGAGGCCACTATTAGTAGTTTGCATTGGGGAGAAAATCAATATATATGCCTCAACCTACTTTTGTCATGAGGCATCCGTATCAATATGCCACCATTGTACATGCCCCTTAAAAAATCTTTGTGTTGATGTGGCTGGCTGGAGGTGCTGCCAGCATAGTTCATGCCCTAATACGCGTGGTCCCTGACTTATGCCGGTCAAGCATCGACACTCCTGTGAGACTAGACAAAGCTTCACTTGGATGGCGCTTGCTTTACAACATTCTAACCGTTTAGTCATTGTCCAGTCTGATTCAAGCGAAGCTTTGTCTAGTCTTACAGAAGATGGACTAGTTCGTTGTGCCTATGGACATCTGGTGGTTGAAATTAAGGAGTTGATGAAAGACCGGGACTTTATTCCCCCGAAAATATATAGGGATCAAAATAGAGTTGCCGGCCATTTGGCAAATTATAGTCGTTTAGAGTGTACCACGGCTGTGTGGTTGTACCTAGGTCCACCATGTATTGAGGATCTTTTACCTCTCGACTGTAACTCTTTCATTATGGAATAAAACTCTCTTTTCCTCTAAAAAACGAGCATCAACACTCCTGAGTCCTGACCACGTCGGCAACACAGCCACCACAGGTTGTTCGGCCGGATCGACGGACGCTGTCATATCGTACGGAGTTGTTGCCGCGCTGGTGCTTGTACGGGCATCCGAGCCGGCAGATAGGCCATGATGAGCGATGAACTAATGACACACGCATCATGTGTAGGCCGGCTCGACCCAACTCCCTCCCGCGTCCATAGCGACCCACCCAAACCATCCCGCCGCACGCAACCCATATTATCATACCGCCTCATGTTCCCGTCGTAGCCCCCGCGACCGACAGGTTCGCCCCGGGAGCGATGCGGCGAGACGCGGCCGTCGTGCCCGCGGCGGTCGTGACCTCGCAGCAGATAGCGGCCGGCGGGGCGGAAATGGGGAATGTCGGGCCGGTGGTCATCGACATTGACTCGGCGCCGGCGACGGTGGCCATCGACATCGACCTCAACACGGGGGGCGCGACCCGCGACGTGGCGTGCCGGATCTGCCACCTCAGTCCCGAGGGCAGCAATGGGCCCGCGGCGGCACCTGGGTCGGAGGTGATCCGGCTTGGCTGCTACTGCAAGGAGGAGCTCGGCCACGCGCACCGACAATGCGCCAAGGCATGGTTCCAGAACAAGGAGATAACATTTGCCAGATCAAATGGAATAATGATGCATGCTCGAGGAAAACCTACATAATTAAACATTTTTTGAAAGATGCACCGATAATATGGGCTTAGGTAGCATGATCAATGTTTAGAATGGTGATTCAATTATCGAAAGACTTAGAATGAAACTATCGCCCATTCACTTCAAAGCAATAGGGTTGCTAGAAGTTTTGAATTCACGCGTCATAGCTCAATTGTCGTTGTTCAGGTTAAAAACAACACGGGGACCAAGGAATGAATGGAGATGGCGAGAAGTGTTATTATATCAAGAATTCTTAAGAGGTGGTGAAATTCTCACCACATTCTTGACAAAAAGAGTTGGTAATACTCCAAGGTAAAAAATAACATGAGCTAGATAGCGAGGAGCTCAAGGTATAACACAAAACACAAACAAGTTTGTGTTGAACGAAAGGCAAAAAAGTGGTCGATGATAACACATATCACCGAGAGCAAAGGGTGGTATTTCTCATCAAGAATTCGATAGATATCTTGGCAGAGCTCGAAATGCTGATGATGATCACGACACATTTGTCGAGAGATCACATGAAGATGTAATCAATCGACGATGACATCAAGTTGAAGGAATGATGAAGTGAAAGGTTATTGGAACCATGGGTACGACACAAACTCGAAATCAAGTTTGTTGTTCAAGGAGAAATGATATGACGAGGAAGATCGACGTAAGATTAGCTCAGCATCGAAATTTGTGCTCCAGGAGGAACCAGATAGCACAGAGAGATCAGAGTACCAGAGTAAAGATCGAGGGGTAAAAGATCCTAATACCACCCAATGGCGACGTGGGCCCATAAGGCACACAGCCATGTTAGTAAAAGTTTTGCAATGACTAGACTCAACTTCGGCCAAGGAGTTGGAAGGGGGATTCCTACAGGCAGTCGGCTCTGATACCAACTTGTCATGCCCCCGATTCAATCGTACACTAATCATGCATGCAAACACGTACGATCAAGATCAGGGACTCACGGGAAGATATCACAACACAACTCTAAAAACATAAATAAGTCATACAAGCATCATATTACAAGCCAGGGACCTCGAGGGCTCGAATACAGGTGTTGGATCATAGACGAGTCAACGGAAGCAACAATATGTGAGTATAGACATAAGTTAAACAAGTTTGCCTTAAGAAGGCTAACACAAAAGTAGCGCCGATCGAAAAGGCGAGGCCTCCTGCCTGGGATCTCCTAACTACTCCTCAAAACCGAACTCCATGTAGAACCATCCTCGGGATCCTCTGGCTCCTGGACTCCAACATCTAGTTGCGTCATCCGGGAAGAAGAGGAAAAAGGGGGAAAAGAGGGAGCAAAGAAACCGTAAGTACTCATCCAAAGTACTCGGAAGCAAAGATCTACACTACATATGCATGGGTATATGTGTAAAGAGGCAATATAGGTGGACTGAACTGCAGAATGCCGGAATAAGAGGGGGATAGCTAGTCCTATCGAAGACTACGCTTCTGGCAGCCTCCGTCTTGCAGCATGTTGAAGAGAGTAGATTGAAGTCCTCCAAGTAACATCGCATAGCATAATCCTACCCGGCGATCCTCCCCTCGTCGCCCTGTGGGAAAGCGATCACCGGGTTGTCTCTAGAACTTGTCTGGGTGTGTTTTATTAAATATCCGGTTCTAGTTGTCATAAGGTCAAGGTACAACTCGGGTCGTCCTTTTACCGAGGGACACGGCTATTCGAATGGATAAACTTCCCTGTAGGGGTGCACCACATAACCCAACACGCTCGATCCCCTTTGGCCGGACACACTTTCCTGGGTCATGCCCGGCCTCGGAAGATCACCAAGTCGCAGCCCTACCTGGGCACAACAAAGAGGTCAGCACGTCGGTCTAAATCCTATGCGCAGGGGTCTGGGACCATCGCCTGTTGCACACCTGCACGTTGCTTACACGGTCGGAAGCAGACCTAGCCCCCTTAATACAAGTGCAGGCTTACGGTCCAATCCGGCGCGCGCCGCTCAGTCACTGACGTCAAGAAGGCTTCGGCTGATACCACGATGTCGAGTGCCCATATCTTTCCCGCGTAGTAGGTTAGTGTGTATAGGCCAGTGGCCAGACTCAGATCAAATACCAAGATCTCGTTAAGCGTGTTATTATGAAGCTACCGCGAACGCCGACCAGGGCCAGGCCCACCTCTCGCCTAGGTGGTCTTAACCTGCCCTGCCACTCCGCCACAAAGATCCACACAGAGGGCCGTCAGGACAAAGGTCCTTTCAGCCCCCAATCCGTGAATCACTCGCGGGCACTCAACGAGCCGACCCGACTTTAGTCACCATCTGTATAATATGTATATATGTATAGTATATACCCGTGATCACCTCCCGAGTGATCACGGCCCGATAGTATAGCAAGGCAGACTTACAAGAATGTAGGGCCACTGATGATAAACTAGCATCCTATACTAAGCATTTAGGATTGCGGGTAAGGTATCAACAACTGTAGCAACAATGACAGGCTATGCAACAGAATAGAAGTAACCGAACAGTAACATGCTACACTACTCTAATGCAAGCAGTAGAGAGAAGAATAGGCGATATCTGGTGATCAAGGGGGGGGCTTGCCTGGTTGCTCTGGCAAGGAGGGGTCATAAACGCCGTAGTCGTATTGGGTAGCAGCGGCGACGGTCTCGGGGTCTTCCAGAAAGAAGTAACGAAGGGGAAACACAATAAATAACAGAGAAATCAAAGTATCACAAAGTATAACACGGCAATACGCGGTGCTAAGGGTGATCTAACGCGGTACTAGGTGTTAGCGGCAAAGGGGGAAAACATCCGGGAAGGTATTCCCGGTGTTTGCGTTTTCGGACAGTTGAACCGGAGGCAGATTGTTGCAGGTTCGGTATGCTAGGGACGTGTGGCTGACGAACGGACTGCATATCAGATTCATCTCGTCGTTCTGAGCAACTTTCATGTACAAAGTTTTCCATCCGAGCTACGGTTTATTTTATATTAATTTTTAAAGTTTTAAATCATTTTCTAAATTCCTGGATATAAATTAATTCAAAAATAAATTAAACACTAAAAGCTATGGATACACAAAAGTGTACCCAGAGATGTCCATGTGTGGCTGACAGGGAAGGGCCAGTTGACTGGGTCAACTGCCCAGTCAGCAAAGGCTGACTGGTGGGTCCAGGGAGCTGAGTCAGCAGCATAATCAGCAGTCAACAATTTGACTGTTGACTGGTCAAACTTGAGGAGTAGGTCCCACCGTCAGTGACTGTTATATATAAAACAAGTTTAATTAATCTGGTTAATTAGCTAGGAGCCCACTTGTCATTCCTTGTTAGCTTAACTAAATTAGTTACTTACTTTAATTAATTATAAGTTTGCCCATAGGTCAGTGTCTCAAGGGTGGATTAGGGAGGTTAGCTTAGGGCTAACCACCGTGGTTAGCGCCAGGACCCACAGGAAGTGGCCCAACCGGCAAAATAGCGCACGCGCCGGCTATGAGGCCCGACGCAGCGGTGGTGGTCGGAATAAGGCCTCCGACGACCATTTGGGTGGCGAAGCGGGTCGTTTAAACCGGAGGAGCGGCACGCGTGCAACAGCGGCATCGCTCCGAGCGAGGGTGGGCTACAACGGCGATGGCGACGGCCTGCAGCAGTGGTCGGAGCTGACGGGCACAGGGGGGACGTGCGTGTGAAGGCCACGGCCAGGGGGCACGCCCTGGTGCGAGCGTGCGTGTGCGCGACCGATGGTGGTGAGCACGAGCGCCTAGCGAGCTCTCGTTGCGGCTATCCGACGAACTCCGGCGACGAAGAAACGGAGAAGGGGGGAAACAAGAAGATCGAGGGGGAGGCTCACATCGAGCGGCAGGGAACAAGGCAGCAGGGCGCGAGGAGGGCAATGGGGACGACGGCGTCGGAGTGGAGGCAGGCCATCGAGGAAGACGGGGCCGGTCCAGCAACAGGGTCGGGGAGGCGATGGGAGGCGTGGGGCATCGACTGCCCAGACCGGATCCACG